TGATTTTTTTTCTTGGAATTTATTAAAGTAGAGTTTTCCTGTCCGTTACTTAACATATGAAGAATTAAGTTGTTATTATGTAAAAGTAAAAAAAAAATGAAAGTATTTTTACCGAAATAACTTTGACAGTGACTCCGCTGGAGTTTGGTTTCAGAGTCTGATATATAGTTCTATTAATCAATCAAAAACAAAAGAAAATTAGCTGCTTTCATGATTTTAAATAATTTCAAATTGATTTTGAACATCAGAATCAGTTGTTTCCCTCTTGTAAATACCTTACTTCATGTTTCTATTCATTCAGAGTGACTCAAAAATAATTCCAACTATTCTTTCTTTGATTATTCTCTGAGACTATCACCAATTACTCTTTGTTTTTGTTTGAATCACACGAAAAATAGTATCAATTATTAATGGCACCTAATACATTAAAGCAGCAATGAAACAAGTATGTTGAATAAAAACTAGTAGTGTTTATAGAGATACAAAATAGAGTAAAAACTCTAAAAGAATTTCGGTTTCTATTGACATTCCACTACACTATCGATTTTTAGATATGTCTATTTTCTTGAGAACTCTAGATTTTCGAAATTTGATCTAAAACTTTGCACATATAGAGAACTCAATTAGACTAGCTGGCATTAAACACTCAGAAATTTTGAACATAGTCTCTTTGATATATAAAGCTTTTAAAAAATAAATTATGTATACACTATCCATGGAAGACGGTCTCTATCTTGAAAGAGTGTGGGTGTGACCTAGTGACTTGAAAAATCAAAAAAACAAATAATGACTTTCGTGAATTTTTATGTCAAAAACATGAAAAAAATGTCATTTTTAATGATGAAACGGACATAAACCTTGATGTTTTGTTCAAATTCATGATTAAAAGCGACATTTTAATTCAAAAAAAAATTCAGTGAATTTGATTTTTAATAAAAATCATGCAATGAATTTAATTCACTAGGGGGCGTAGGACTTCTTCAGTACCACGCATACACCCACACTCACACTTTCGAGTTGTAGATGTGGGTGACAAAGTGACTCAAATTGATTTTTTAATCGAATTTATGATTGTTAGTTTTGATTACTTGTAATGAATTGAATATCGAAGAATTAAATTAAGTGTTGAATGAATATTGAAAAACTTAAATTGAATATTGGATATTGAGCTATTATTTGTGGATTCTTCTTTGGATCTTGTATTTTTTTTGTAAAGTGACTCGTTGTTTCGCTTCAGATTAGTCAACATTGAAAATTAAACTGATCAATAAGTAGCCCTTGAAAAGCTTCAAAAAATCATGTATTTAGAGGCTCGAAATCGAAAGGATATGAATTTCAGATAGACGAATGACATGGGACATCTGTGAGAGGCATGAGGTTCAACGACAGTAATTTATTAGACTAGAGGATGCTCTCGAAAAAAAATCTTTAAATAGCCTGTATGATGTAGTTTTCGACGCTGAAAACGAATCTGGCATCGTTCTTTCAATTTGATTAAGGGTGTGGGTGTGGGTGTGGGTGTGGGTGTGGGTGTGGGTATGGGTGTGAGTGTGGATGTGGGTGTAGGGTGGGTGAAGGAAAGACCCACACCCCACCCACACCCACAGCCACACTCACAGCCACACCCACAGCCGCACCCACACCCGCACCCACAGCCACACCCACCCACACCCACATCCACACCCACACCCACACTCACACCCTCGATAAGTTCACAAACTCTGATATTGATCAATTGAAACACTTTATGTTGACCTTTTGATGCCTGAGAAATCAATTTATCATTGCTCGTCATTGTTTACATCTTCAATAGAAATTTTTATATGAACAAATATCAAAACCTACACTATTTAAAATACTAAAAAATATATTAGAACCACTTAAAGTTCGAGGAAAGTTTTGAAATGTTCTAGAACAGTCGAAGTCTTATTGTTGATATCGTTCAGCTCCTCTTTCCATTGGTAAGAAACTGTAGAAAAGGAGTCTGAAGTCTGTTATTCATGGTTGTTGGGGTCTGTAATGAGGAGGAGAGAACCGCAAAACTTCGACTTCAAACTTCCACTCACTATTCTCTTCGAAAATATATGTGAGTTCCACAACATTGATGTTCATAAACTAGAGATACATTAAATAATAAAGAAAGATTTTTTTCATGAACACCTTGTCTTTCATTTTCTTGAGGTAGGTCACAAAATAAACTTAGCATCATGGATACAAAAAAAGAAAATGTGACAGGTTTTTCTGCGTATTAACATATTCTGTTGGTATGCTAGTTATTTGCCTATTTGACTACAATAGGAAGGAATCTTCCTTTATTCTTTAGTTTTTATTTGCAATTTAAATAAAATACATTTTGTTTTTATTTATTCATCTTTATTTTATACAGTAAAGAGATTCACATGAAAAACAAAAAAATCCTTTTTTCAATTGATAATGAATAGAACTTAATACTTAAAGTATCGATTCACAATGGTGCTTGCTCTATCCAGGAATGTGATCAATCGATATTGATTGTGAATGCTCCTGTTAAATCTGCCGCATATGTCGTTACAACCAAAGTATATCGCATGCCCACCTGAAGATAAACACTTAACTTGAACTGTATACTAGCACCATCATCATCATTTGATGCAAGTAAATTCTGAGATGGTGAATTCGGATCGAAATTGTTATTGTATATGTAGCCATATGTGTCAATGCTACTATCGCATGTAATGTCATGAGTTCCACTCGAGTGCACTTGAAATGGGGTCGCTTCATAGTAACAGTAACCATCCGTGTTTCCTGGACGTTGAAATCTAGAGCTAGAGGTTGTCAGAGATGACGAATATCTCGACCCCCTCGATAAAATGACTATGAAAAGAACAGAATAAATTACCGTTTAATTTATATTAAAATTCTTTATATTGAGTTTATGACATGGGTTCTTCAACAAATTTGTCAGCTGACTCTGAGAGAAAAGAATCGATAGAAAAACTAATTAGTGACGGTAGAGTATTGTATAAATAGTGCCGTATTTTGTCGTAAATCTGATAGATAACTCATAGGATACTAATAGTCAAACTCAACTATGTACGGTAAAAGTATAATTCATAAACATTTGTATACACTGAAAATATAGCACTGCACAAAATTCATACTTCCTTGACCATGATAACGGCAATAAATGGTCCTTTTATGACGAAGATTCGGCATTTTGCGATCATTCATAAAGATGGACAGTTTTACCTATTGCCCACACCTTTGGATGAGAAAAGGACAAATATGAAAGTGTACGTACCTTGGTTCGTTATGTTGAGATTATTAATTCGAACATTTATACTGTTCAACGTAGCGCTGATATTTTGTTTGATCATGTCAGTTAGAGTCATTCCATTTGTTAGATTCGTGTTGATATTATTAATTTGAGCATCAATTCTGCTTGATATAGCGATGATCTCTTGCTTCATCATTTCGGTTAAATTTGCATAAATATCGTCAGTTTGTATACTTATCCGGTTGAATATAGTATCCATTTCTTGCTTCCAGTCTGCAACCATCTCTTCAGTCTTATTTTCTACCATAGAAATTTTGTTTTGTACATTTTTTATTTCACTTTGCAGTTGCAGCTTTGTAACTTCCGCCTAAAGTTTTCAAACGAAATTAGCGAATGCAACACGTTTTATGTGTTTAAAGCTCGTTCATACATACAGAGTTGCTCATATTCAATAGAATAGCTTCGATCTGCTCAACTCGATCCGTCAGCCATAATTTCGATTTGCTACTGTTGTCACTAGACTTACAACGAAGTGGTAAAGCATGCACATTCGATCGCATTCGAACAACTACTGTATTGGAGAAGAGCTTTGTTTTCGTATTTAATTTTCCAATTTTGACGAGACGAGCATTAATAGGACGAGGCTTGATAATGTCACCTTCGAGTTGAACATTATTGAAGAATGTACGAAGAAACTTTTCCACACCATTCCGACTCGTTATATACTGCTTGTCTGCATTTTTGTCAATTTTAGTTGCATTAAGATTATTCGTGTTATATCCCATTTGATTGAAAGTATTATTATTTATTCGAGTATTGGTAAATTGTTTCTTGTCAGTCTGTGTCACGTTCAAATGATTTTGTCCAATATCTTGCATATTCAGATTGTGCTTGTCTGTTTGCTTTACATTCAAAACGTCGGTATCGGAAACTTTTTCGTGCTGTTCTTGGTTGACGTCAACTTGATTACTAGTACTTGCTGATTGTGTCTGTGATGAACCGCCACCACCACCGCCGATCGAGAACAAGCCGAAGACGTTGAGTCCGCCACCACCATGACCGCTAGAACTATGAGCATTTTCATATGAATTGGATCGACTACGCGAGTCGAATAGTTTATCGAATTGTCCAAGACGTTGTTTGTCATGGTGTGTCAAATGAGCTCGCTCATCATTTTCGTTGAACGACTTGAAATTATCATTATCGTGGTGATATAAATTGGCTCGATCAATGTTTTCTCGTGCCTGGTCGACGTCGACAATTTCATGTCCTGTCACATCAGTTCGAAGGATATCATGTTCGGTCAAATCCATTCTCGTTGCATCTTTTGCAGCTTGACGATCGTAGATAAAACGTTCACTATCACCACTCTCTTTGCGAATAATTGAATTAAGAACTTTGGCAAGGCGGTCAGGACGCGTCAATTCTGAAGTCCAATAGAGATCTTCCCACAATTTGTTATTGGTTCTTTCCAGTCGCACCTAACATTATAAACAAAACAGGGTGATCATGGTTTTTAACTAATCGATCTCACATGTAAATCTTTTATAGGAACGACATCGTTGTGTTTCTTTTTTAACTTCTACTTTGAAGGAGTACAAACTCAAGTAAAAATTTCTTCCTAAAAGTTTTCAGAATATTACTCGGTTAAAACTATCTATCAATACGGAGGAAGATGGGATCGTCATATCTTGCATGAAACTGTAAAATCGTAACTTGTACTATGCAATATATTTTAGTACGTTTAACTGTCACATACTTGTTGATTAGATAGCTGATGTTCGAGAAGTTTATCGATGGCCATTGGATCTTGGAGATTTTCGAATCCCTCTTGTACACGCAATGTCATCGTGATACGATCTATAGCTTCACTGAGAAGTTCCTTGAAATCGTTTCCAGTGAGGACCACCGTTTCAGCCGATGGAAACTGAGCACGAATCTGATTGTACATATTGGTACTTGTTACATGTTCCGTGTTCACTTCCAATTGTCGTTGTGTTGAGTGCTGGCCATGGAGTGAATATTGAACTTCAAAGTTTGGTAACCGACACTTCTCTGTGAGAGCCTTGCGTAATTGTTCACAAACAGTTATGTTCGATGTATACATAATAAATTCCATTGATTGAAGAAGAAGGGTAGCTGAATGCCAACTTTCTACAAGTATATATTTCTGATGAATGTTATCTGGACGTGCATCTTTTTGAACAAGTCGAATCGAATGCATCGGTAAGAGAGAAACATCGCACATAGATAAAGACGTCGTGTTCCCACATAAAGATAGCTGATACTTGTAAAGATAGTCTTTGACGGCTCGGATAAGTTGTGGTGTATAAAGTTCGACTTGAAGACCGAGTTCTGCCCGATCACTAAACACATTTTCATAACATTGTGTTTCTTCAGGTCGAAGATATGGAAACGGGGTAAAGAAAAAATCAGTTTGCTTCTGTTGATTTTGTGCAATCACCACTTCACCATCTTGATACTTGATTCGACCGATGTTTTTCGTTCCCATTTCCACCTGAAAAATGCCACCATTGTTTGTTGAGTCAGATTCTTGTTGCTCAGCGACAGCTTTATATGTAAGTAATAAAAATATCCACCAAATATACATTCTGAAATGACTAATGAAATATTGACTGCATTTATTGCCATGCATCGCACTACTTGCTATTTAATTACTCTGTGTATTATAGAACACTAGAAAAGATAGGAGTAGAAAAGAAGACATCATTCCACTTCGTCATACTTTTCTTGCATTAACTCAACTAAACATTTCGCTTTTCAGCAATCAACGTTGTTGAAATGACGTACTAAATTAGTCAAAGTTTGTTTAAAATGAGTTCTGCTCAAAGAAAATAAACAAATATCGAGCGAAAATCGCCACAAAAAAGTTTTTCCTATCTTATCCTATACCGATATCGGATGTCAATACTAACTTACTGTTCAGACGGATAATACATCAACGCATAAATTCTTTGTTTAACTTATACGATTGTACTATTTCAGTTAAACATGAATCTTGACTATGAGCATTGGCAAGAGTAGGAAAAAGAAAAAGAGAAGTATTGTTGTTCGCGTTCTGTACGATGTTAATCCTAGGATATGTGGTTTATATACGAGATGAATGTGAAAGATGACACCTGCTACGGAAGTGAAGTATTTCATTTGGCATTTAAAAGTAAATACAGATAGTCACTTCTCGTTTGCGTAATTTGAAACGATGATGACGAAAGATCAGTAGACACTTCCTATCTGATGTGATTGAAGAAACAAAATGTCAATCATTACTTTTTCTCTTCTTGATGTGTGAATAAAAATCACTCTTCACATGTACTTTGTACAAAGTATTAAACATGTATGTGTATATATTGCATAGTAGTCGCTGATGGTTTTGTCTGTGACGTCGTCTCATCTTTTAAATGTTTCGCTCGGTCTATGATTATATGTCAAAGATCACCTTTTGAGACGTATGAACCATTCTGGTGTTAATGAAATGTCCAGTCAACTTTCTAATCTGACAGACAGCAAATATATTCTATCAAATCTTCGAAAACCGAATTTTTGGTGTTCATATTCAGTTTATAAAGAAACAAAAGGCAAGAAAAAGTTAAAAACATATTTTTTAGTGTAATTTAATTTTGACTGGTCAATCGAGAAACAAAAATACAAGAGAATTCATTGCGATTGCACTTGTTACAAGAACATAAAGATATTTCAGTGTCATTTTGTTGAACAACACTTTAGAATATTATTTATTTTTTCATTCTTATAAAAAGCCACGTTAATCAGATATATTGCATATTGTATTCATATTTTTCATAGTTCAGATATATTAGTAGCAATGAAAAATTACGAAAGCAAACGAGTAGCCAACTTATTTGAAAGCAAACGTTCTTGATGTGATTTAATTGACTTTTTCGCTTTATCTTTTCCATTCCATGGAATGTGATAAAATACATTCATCGAAGCTATCATCTGGCTCATGTATCGAATTGCCTATTTAATTTTATCTTGATTATTTGTTTAGTGGGGACTTATCAACTGAATACAAATGAATGGAGTCGTTCTTCACCTGTGAAGGTGAGGGGATCGGCGGATTTAATGGTAAATATTCAATAAAAATCAAATTTTGAAGAATATCCAATGAGTTATCATGACGCGTTTTGATCTTGCTCAAAGATTTCATCAGGTGGCTTGGAATCTTTGCACATAATTAGTTATTTTCTCAATTTTAAAGGATAAAATCCTCCAAAAATAGAAAATATTCAAATGAAAAGCAAAGATGCCGTAGTGTATAGTCTATTTGTGTTTCTGTTGCTACTTAGGGCGTACAAAAAGTTCGGGTCCCGACGTTACTTAGCAATATAGTAAGCTTTAAGAAACTTTCTTTCTATATGGTCTGATAGAGAAAAAAATGCTCTATTTTTCTATGCTATTTGATCATAGTTCAACTAATATCATGATAATAAATTTTCGATAAGACTTTTTTCGTGATCATTTGTGCTCATAGTACTAGATTACAACGGATGAGGTAGGTTATTTTTTAATCCCTCAATCTATTGTATTAACAACTAAACTATGCCATAAGATGTAGCGTGAAAGGCTCTACAATTTACATACGACCACTTACTTTATAGTTGCACTTTTTGTTTTCCAAATAAACAAAGTTTTCACGGGCCAAACTTTGGGCATTGCAAAAATTGGTTGCGCAGAATTTTCCTTCTTTTGAAAACAATTACAATCAGCTTTACTATGAAGATTGTAGAACTTTTCGTGCTGCATCTTGTGGTGTATTTTGTTTTCTTTTGATAAAGCATATCAGGTAACGAAACGATGAAATAACAACAAAAGAAGTGGTCCTCTATCAAAAACATTATCAATTTTCCATAGTCACAATTTGATTGCCCAAAATTTTCTCCATTTTAAAAACGAAAAGTGCAACTATAAAATAAGCGGTCTTATGTAAATTGTAGAGCTTTTCACGCTGCGGGTGTGGGTGTGGGTGTGGGTGTGGGGTGTGGGTGTTGGTAGGTGTGGGTGTGGGTCTGGGTGTGAGTGGGGTGTGAGTGCGGGTGTGGGTGGGTGATGGTGTGGGTGGTGGTGTGGGTGCGGGTGTGGGTGGGTGTGGGTGTGAGTGAGTGTGGGTGTGAGTGGGTGTGGGTGTGGCTGTGTGTGGGTGTGGGGTGGCTGAGGGTGTGGATGTGGGTGTGTGGGTGTGTGGGTGTGAGTGTCGGTGTGGGTTCAGAGACAATAAACACATCCTCATATCCACACTCACATCCCACACCCTAGTTCAGAGCTGATAAAGCTTTCTGAATCAAAGTCCTTGAAATATGAAACTATTTTTGTTTTGCTGCCATATTCTTACAGTAATTTTCCAAAATGAGGAG